GGGATGGGGAAATCCTCCCCGCCTGCCACAATCACCCACCCAGGGACAGCTCCTGTCAGCCCCTGAGCCCTGGCACGGATTTGCTGATGGGGCCTGCAGTCCTCAGCCTCGGACCTCCCCCGTCAGCTGCCACGTCCCCCAAGCTCACCGTCACCCGTGACAGCTCTGAGCCCTGATGCAGGTCCCTCAGTCGATCCCGTTCTGTGGTGAGGGCCACCAGGACGCTACTGAGGGAGCTGTGCACTGCCGGGGACAGGCCAGAAGTCAGACCCTTCTTTCTCTCCCGGCCTCTTGACCCACTCCAGCTCACCACCTAGCCTGTACCTACCCTTCTGGGCCAGGGCCCAGAAACTGCGCTGTAGGTGGGCATAGTCTGGAGGTGGCAGCCCACGGTGGCCAGAAGAGTCCCGAGACTCCAGGTACCGAGACAGGTTAGGAACAGAGCCATGGAGACGACCAACCTGTCAGTGAACATGAAGGGTAATGGGACACCTTCCTCCAGGACACTGAGTCCCTGAATCTTGGGGCTCGTATCCCCATCTCACCCGTCCAATGGTGTCATCCTTGGAAAAGCCCTGTGTGCACCACATGCGACTGGTCCGTTTCCCCTTCTTGGGTCTCTCAGTTGTCACCGAGGCCTGGCAAGTTGAGGAGGAGTAATTTCACTCACAGAGTTGGGAAAGGCCTTGGAGGAGAGCACAGATCGTCCAGGCACATGGGTGTGGCATGCTGGCAGTGATCCAGACAAAAGGAGCAAAGAAACAGCCTGGAGGCTTCTGGATAGGTGTGAGGCAGGAAGGTTTGCCCCGTGAAATGATGGGGATGAGGGTCCTGAGCAGTCCCTGCCTCCTCCCTTGACCCTTACCTGGTGTGTGGGGATCACAGGGGCAGAGGGGATTCGGTGTAGGGATTCCAGGCTCTGAAGGAGTCTGTGTAGTTCCTGGAGCTTACCCTGGCATTCCAAGAGCGCTGGGGGAGAAGGGAGGAGGGGACATTGCTCTCTTAGATGTACCAAGGTTTCCAGACTGTCCCCTCAGATTCTGTCCATCCAAAGACATAGCTGGCAGACAGGGAATCTGACACTGTTTCCTCTCTGCTTAGGAGCTCAAACCATTTTCAGTCCTGTGGCGTAGCCACTTTTGATTTTCTGGGAAGCCAGGAGTCTGCCCTACCCTGTCTGCTGACTACCCCTCCCTCTTCTGCCTGAGCCCAGGCTGGGTGTCCTTACTGTCTCTCCTTATTTATACACACTACCCTCTCTGGGTCACTAGCTTGGTCTCCTTCTGCAGCAATACAATTCTAGGGCACAGCCTTTCTCTGTTGCTATTCAGAAATTTTGCTGCATTGGCCTCAGGCAGGAGTCTCTGTTTCTTCTACGCAGGCATTAGCCTACTAACTTCTGTAAGTTAGGGCTCCTTGGGGCATTAAGAAGAATTGATCACCTTGGAGGTAGAGGGTGTCCTCCCCAGCAGAGGGGGTCTTCTGAGGAATGATGGAGGTAACACTTTCCCTTTGTGCTGATACTGCCCAGATCTGAGAACACAGGCCCCACCCACAGAGGCCCTTGGCCAAGGACCCTCACCATGAGAGCAGCGGTCTAGTCCGTCACTGTCCCTCAGCCAGGATGACACTTTCTCTCGAGAGCCAACCCCAGGTAAGGCTGAGGCACTACCTGCTGTTAGCATCTGGGTACCAGGAGCCTGTGGGGGTAAGCCAGGGTAAAAAAAGACGGTCCCCAGCTCTCTGGGTCTCAGTCCCCGCAGCCTCCACCCTTGAGTTGTCACATCACCTGCCCTCACTCCAGGGCCCATCTCACCTTCCGATGAGTGGCACCAGGCATGTCCAGGCGCTGGGCCAAGCGATGGGCTCGGAGCTGGGCCACCCAGCTCTGGAACAGGTCTTGGGATTTGATCTACAGAAACGATGGAGAGAGATAAGAAGGGAGGGGTTGCTTTCCAGGAGCAAAATGTCAGGTCTCTGATCTCCCGGCAAACAGGGAATTTCCCTAGGGTACTCAGTTTGTACAAAATGCTGTTGCAGACAGAGTATGGCACTCTGAGTGTCAGAGATCCCATCTCTGTATCTATTCATATAACAGTTAGCCATCAGAGTAGGTCTACTCCAGGCTATTTCACACAATGGAAACTTTCTTCTTGTCAAACTCAGGGAAGACCCCCTTGGCTCCTATGTTTGTGCCCTGGTACCTCTGCCAGGCTAGTCCCCAGAATACTTTGTTCCCAGGGATGTCACCTTTAGGTGGTAGATATTGTCTTCTGTGTCAAGGTCAATGCGCTGGGCCTTTTTGTTGATGGACATGACGGATAGTCGGACATCAATGGAGCCGTGGAGCTTCCCCTTGGTGATCTGAAGTAGAGGATTGGAGGAGACGGGGAACGGGTTTGAGGCTCCCAGAAGCACAGAGTCACCATCTCCTTGATGCCACTCTAGACTCACGGGCCAAGCACCTCAAGTATTCTGTAAAGGGCTTATTCACCATCTCTCACACACAGAGCACTGCACTATGCTCAATTCCAGGCCAGTCTGAGAAGTCATCACGTAAGGAAAAAGTGCCCTGGAAAGCTACATGGCGGAAGAAAGAGCACCCATTGGAAGGAACCCGAGAGTCCAGCCTCAGGACAGTGTCAAGAGTGACAAAACTCGGGTACTTAGTTTGCGATGGGCATCATCCAATAACTACACAGGTGGAAGAGTGTGTTTCCCACCCGTGTCAGCAGGAAGGAGGCTGAGGCCAAGGGAAGCAGTTGTCTCATGGTATTTTGGGTTCTAGAAGTCACAAAGGAAGCCAAAATGCATACATGCTCATCCCTAACCATAAAAAGGTACATTTTCTACACATAACTTATATACCATCTCTGTGCCCCTTGGCCATTTCTAGATGACTTCTGATACCTAATACCATGTGAATGCTGTGGGAATGATGATTCTAGTCTTTAGGGAATCATGGCGAGAATAAAATCTATATGTGTTCAGTACAGTTATACTTTCAAAGGGTGTGTGTGTGTGTGTGTGTGTGTGTCTAAATTGTTGAATCTGCCAGGTGGTGGTTGTGGTGATGGCGACATGAGTCTTTAATCCCAACACTTGTGAGGCAGAAGCAAGCAGATCTCTGAGTTCAAGGTCAGCCTAGTCTACAAAGCAAGTTCGAGGCCAGCCAGGACTGTTACACAGGGAAAATAAAAAAAAAAACAAAAATAAATAAGTAAATTGTTGAATCTGCAGATGTGGAGCCTAAGGATGCAGAAAGCCAACAGTTACTTGACAAATGTTGCTGAAAAGTGGAACTGAGAGAGAGTCAGACCCTGCTCTGGCTTACATTCTGGGGCAGGCTCCCCCAACACCCCGACCTGGAACCTGACTTACATCCTGTCGGGTTGTGGCATAATGGAGGATCCCGTCCTCCAGCACGAAGTACCTCTGCACGGGAGGGGCAGGACCAGGCAGCCGAGAGCATGGGGCAGGGAGAGAACAAACACACCCATTTTTCTTCTCCTTCAGCACACAGGATGCCAGAGCCACCCAGCAGCCTCCCACATGCAGCCCCCCCCCCCGCCCGCCCTAACACCCTACCTTGTGCCAGCCCTTAAGAGGCCACTTCCTCTTCTTGAGCAGGTGTCCTTCCTGTCTCTCAGGCATGATGTCCTCTGCTCCCAGTCTGCCCCGAGGCTCCTCCACCACCTCCCACAGCTCAGAGGCCTGAGATCCAGGGTAGATGGAGGGCCTCGGGTGGTGAGCCCACTGCCTCCCCTCCAGGTACCCAGCCAGCCCCCCACCGCCCCAGGCCGCCATGCTTGTCTATTCAGACCTGCTGGGTACTGCTGGGCTTTGAGGACTGAGTACTCTCAGCCAGGGAGGGAGTGTCTTTTTCTTGGAAGTCCATGAGGAAGGGGAGGGTACTCCCTGATGAGGAGGGCGGAGCAAGGGAAGAATGTCACCTTCTCCTGGGGGATCCCTTGAAGAAAAAGAGAGACCCGTGAGTACTACCCAGTGTCGAGGCCCCCACCGTTGGTCCCTCCTGCACTAAGACACACATCCTTCACTCGCACGCCATCCCCACACCCCCAGTGTGCCCTGACACCGCCATGGGCCTAGGCAGCAGCACCCAACTCAACTCCCACTGTGGTCACGGCCGGGACGGCTAAGCTGGTGGCCCGGCATGTGGCTCCCCCTTGGGCACACACCCTAGAAATCCAGGAAATGCTGTTTTCTTAAGGCTGGGGAGGGAGGGAAGAAAGAAGAGGGTCCAAGAGGAGATGGAAAGACTCAGGCTAGGGAGGAAGGAACTCCTCAGTCCAGCTGTCTTTCCCTCTGGGATCTCTTTGCCTACCTCGATGGCTTGGCCACGCCTCCGCCACAAAGTGCCCTGAAGACCACACTTCAAATTTCTACTAGTTGGCCCCTTTGCTGCCAGCTCTTGTGTTCCCATCTTCTACGTGGGGAAACTGAGGTCTGAGGCAGGCTTTGTTTTTGAATACTCCTCCCACAAAACATGCCCCGAGCACACCCACCTGGACTGTTTTTCCCTGCCCCTTTCTACCGTTAGCCCTGAGAAGCACCTCCCACTCATAAGGAGAAGGACGCTGGCTGGCTGAGACATTGTGGGTGGGAGAAGAGGTGGCCAGGAATGTCCAGGTCCACCCTGGTCCCGCGGCAGTGCCCACAGGCGCCCTTGGCACTGGCTCTGGCCATCCTGGCTCCGCTAGGATTTCAATAATGCATGAGGCTGTGTGTGTGTGTGTGTATGAGAAGGGGGAGGGGACTGGAGGGGCGATCTTGCCCTGTGTCTGGGGAAGCAGCTCAGAGCTTAATGCAGCTAGCAAGCACCTGAGGAGTTGAGGCCCAGAAGGGACAGGGAAGTGGCAGTCTAAGTGTGGCCAGGAGGTCACAGCAGAAAGATCCAGGCTGCAAGAGGTTGACCAAGGGGAAACTCCTGCATTCAGCCATTCAAAGTTTCCAAACTCTTCCGGTGTTTGGGTATTTCTATGCCCTTGTCCTGGTCCTTAGGACCCGGGCCATTGACTGCCAGCCCCCAGCAGAGGTGGGAGGTACCTACCAGTAGAAAGGAGAAGACGATCCAGGTGAGTGTCCCCCTAACCGCCTCCGTTCTCCGCTCTTTACTGGAGGAGCAGACCCACCAGCTCCAGAGGAGAGGAAACCCTCCCAGGAATGTCAGGTGGTGTCAGCAAGGTCCCTTACCCCAGGGTCCATGGACGCCAGTGCTTCTTGGTCCGTACACCGATCTGCCTCTGAGTCACTGTCCCCGAGTCACCGGCTACCTCTTCACAGAGCTGAGCAGTGGCAGCAGCTGCTGCAGGAACCAGGAAGGAAGGAGACGTCGGAGCCTCCCCTCCAGCCGGATCTCCCCACCTGCCCCTCCCCCGTCGCCTCCTCCCGCCAAGCTCTGGGCTGCCGCTCAGCTCTGCCCCCCTGCTCCCGGGAGGACTAAGGACGGAGTGGTACCAAATGACTTGGAAATGAGGGGCACAGTCCCCACTGGGCATTGTTCTACATGGATCAGAGAACTGGAAAACTGCTGGCTTCAAGCCATTGGAGGTAAAGGATTTATTCCGGTTAGCACGGCCTTGACCCAGGCGAGCACTCAAGGCCATTTCCTAATTCTCCCTGCCTCTCGTTTTACACCTGAAATAGATGGCACATTTTGGACTAGCAAAGATATCAGGTTGACTGGGAAGGGACAGAGACACCCTCCCACCTCACACTACCCCTGTATACTCTGTGACACGACAAACTGTGCCAGATGCATTGCCAGCAGGGCACTCAAGGGAAGAGGGACAGCTGAAGCCCACAGAGGCTATTCACTGAGAGCGATGTCCTCCCAGGTCGGCTGCTGCAGGATCAGGAATATGGTGCAGTCAGTCTTTGGGGAGGGAGAGCTATGGGGCAGCGGCCAGCTGGCTGTTATAAAGGACTTGGGGGTGTCGCCCCCCCCCACCCTCAGACACATTTACCCACTGCTGGAGTACTATGCTCAGTTGCTGAAGTAATTAAGAATTGGCTCTTGAGAAATACGTACAATTCATCCAAAAGGATGTGCACTGACTGACAGGTTCGGTGCCTGAGACACGTCGGCACCACAGGAGGGTGTGACTACAAAAGCTCTTCTATGACCTCAGAAATGATGGGGCCACTTGTCCGCTCCACCTTGTTAGACGGCAAGGTCTTACACACCTCCGGGTATGTCTGTCTGGGCCCCCTTCAGAGCCTCCGCGTGGATACAGCTTTCCAGGAGGGAGGAGTGCTGTGGGCAGCAGCAGGCAGGCCTCTGGAAGCAGAGCCACCCAGTGGCACCAGGCAGACCTGCGGACATCTACAGCCTCGGGGGCCTTTAACCTGATTGAGCATCCCTGGGCATCTGCAGAGCTGGGCACCGTGTGTGTAAGAAGTTGGTCCTGGCCCAAGCCAGAGGCTAGCTGCTGCAGATCTTCATCACCAGTGTCTGTCCAGGACTGAAGATGCTGTGGCACTGCTCCACATCTGGGAAGGAATGCAGAGGAGCTGCTCCTCACTCAACCCTGATCTACCCAGGATGCGTTCCTCAAGGACAATGCAGACCACAGCTAACCATCTTCCTTCCTTGTTAGAGGTGCTGTTCCCTAATACCAGGGGAATGCCTCCTACCACAGCCCCCAGAACTCATATTAAAAGAGAATTCTAGTTCCTCCAGATCCTTTGTGCTACCAGCCACAGCCTTCGTAAGGAAAAGCAGGTAAGGACAAGTGACTAGGGACAAGGATGTTTTAGGAAAGAAAGTGAGAATTTAGAGATGATTGAGACAATCCAGAGAATAACTAAGATCAAGAGTCCAGGGCTGAGCCGGGTGTTGGTGGCGCATGCCTTTAATCCCAGCACTCGGGAGGCAGAGGCAGGCGGATCTCTGTGAGTTCAAGGCCAGCCTGGTCTACAGAGCGAGTTCCAGGACAGCCTCTAAAACAATACAGAGAAACCTGTCTCAAAAAAACAAAAAAAGAGTCCAGGGCTGGAGCACTCCAGGGCTGGAGCACTCCAGGGCTGGAGCACTCCAGGGCTGTGAGCACTTGTTGCTCTTCTGGAGGAGTCAGGCTCATTCTCCCACCCACATGGTGGCTCACCCCGCCAGCAACTCTAGTTCCAGATCTGATACCTACCCTCTTCTGACCTCTGTGGGTACAAGGCACACATGTGATAGATACATAGATATAAATGTAGGCACAGCTTTACACATAAATCTTTTAAAAAATGACAAAACAAAGAGATGTATTTTATTTTTATAACGAATAAGTTTTCCCACTCCTTCCACAACCCAGCACAGCCCAGGGTGGAACAGGAACCTCAGATCCCACCCAGGACCCACTCCTGGGTAACTTTATGAAGAAGCTCTACCACAGAAACTTGAGACTTCTGAGAATCAAGTTCAAGACCTTATCCAGGACTCTGCTCTTTCCTGAATGGTAAGAGATAAAGGAGCTGGCATCTGTGTTTAGTACGGCACTTGGCACATGACTCAGTGCCATTCACAAGGTCCATCATGGCATGCGGAGGAACTGAGAGGGTGGGCTGGGAAGACACAGAGCAGGGACAGAGGACAAGGCTAGGCAAGACAATCTCCATCCTGCCTGTTTTGTGCCTGGAGAACTGAAGGAGACTGTTCCTATTAGGTCCCTCGTTGGGACAACTAAGACTGACTAGTGAAACTGAAGACAATGGACAGCCTCAATTTGAAACGGAATTTCTCTGTATCTTCAAGAGGCCTGTCCCCAAGGAGGTCATTGTGAATGAGAGCCAAGGCATACATGCCACTCCCACACTCCCAATTCTTTTAGACCTCTGCCAGACAACAACACAGACAGCAGGGACAGAGTGCATTTATGGGCAGAACTGAGTAAAACAGGTGGGCTAGGAGTCTGGAGTTGGGTCAGGTGGTGGCGGTTTCCCGCTGGCTGACGTGGCAGACTCTCCCTCATGTTGCTGTTTGATATACTGATCCAACAGGGAAGTCAGCTGGGCAGGCTGGTGCTGAAGCAGGTAGTGGGTCTGGGCTATGATGCCAGTAAGTCCTCCTACCAGCTCCCCTTGCAACAGGTCCAGGCTGGGCAGCTTGGCATACTCTACGAATCCCTGCCTGCTGAGGATGGTGTCATCCACGCAGCCACCTGGAAGAACATAGGGTCAGCTGGGCTCCCTGCAAATGTCCTTCTTCTTGACAGGCATCATCCCACCACCAGAACCTGCTCTCCAGGGCCCTTCTCCCCGCCTAGTTGGCCCTAAAATCAGGGTCGCAATGGTACCTCATCCCATTCCCATGTTGGGCATCAATCCCTCTCCTCTCTTTCCCTGAAATCATGATAAAACATACATCTAGTCTCAAACACCCTAAAGTCAGTGACTCGAAACTTCTTTGAAGACAGGCTCTTAGAGAAGAAATGGAGCCTCCATTTCATTTGCAATGAAATACTAGGAAAAGAAAATCCTGGAGTGTAAAGGGTATGTGTAACTATAAATATAGATTCCTGGGAAACCTGAATTTTCTGAGGACACAGGCAGTCTTCTCTACTGAATGAACCCCAAAACACACTGGTCACAGCACTGGCCCTCACCCCTCCTTATTTAAGATATTTGTTTCTTATTTTAGATGGTTTGTTTATGGGGGCATGCACATACTACAAATAACTTCTGTTCTCTCCTCCCGCTATGTGGGTCATGGCAACTGAACCAAGCAGGACCTTAACCTGCCGAGCCATACCGCTGGTCCAAGACATACTGATACGTGCCCCTGTCACCTGGCACTCGGGCAGTGCCCTGGTCAGCCCAGGGTTCCCTGACTACTAGTCTGCAAGCAGGTGCAAAGGACCCCTTTAACAGAAAGACCTCCACCCACTTACGGTCTCTTCCCCGCTCTCTTCCTTGCTGTCCCCTGGGGCAGACAGCACTTTTCCTGTCTCCCTCTTCTCTTCTGTCCTCTCTCAGTCTCTGTACCCCCCCTTCCCCTTCTAATAAAACTCCTCACTAAGCTGTCTCTCCTGGCGTTTTATCATAATGCCCTCCCTATGCTCTTTCTTCTGGTACAGAACTGATGTGGGCAGTGACACAGCACAGGTGTGAGTGACACCATCGGTCCCCAGAACATGCTGATTCAGCCTCATCCAACAGCGGTTCTGTGCCACCCAGAAGCGGCTCCAACTGCAGGACTGCCACTCACCCAGCAGCGGCAAGAAAGGAACACTCTTCAAGATCCGCACCATCTCCTTGACCTTGGGCTCTTCACTGACCAGCAGCATATTGTGCCCAATAAAAAGTGGTAGCAGGTTTTTGTATTTGGAATCTTCTAGAAAAGGCTTCAGGACCTGGGATCATAGGAAAGAATGGCTAATGGGGGGTCAAGAAGAGAGAAAAGCCACATTACCTTACGCACAGGCTGTACCAAGTAAAAGTACCACCTCAGGGTGTCCTCAGTTGCTACGCATAGTTAGGCACCAGACTAGGGCAGCCTGTCTAGGGTGACTAGAACAGAAGTCGGAAGTAGCCTGCCTGTGGGAGGGGCAGAGCCCAGGTCCACTCAGCAGGCATGGGAGGAAGCAGGCCTGAGCCAGGGCAACCCTACCTCATTGGGGAAGACTTTCATCAAGATATTGTGTTTCCGCAACCGGTGCCGCAGGAAAAGTTTGTCCTCTGCACTCATGGCCACATTCTGGCAGATGGCTATCATTCGGTTGTCTCGAAAAACTGCTACTATTTCCCGACGCAGTAGCTGGATGAGGCCGGACTCCTGTGGCAGGACAGGATAGCTGAGGGAAAAGGAAGGTTTCCTGGCTCCCTCCCTTCCCCCACACGGGCACTGGGGTGGTCAGTGAGGCCACAATATGTGACAAACAGAAGAAAGGGCTGGGCAGCTGGGCTCAACTCCTACAATGCGGAACACCGCCCATCGTAAGCTTTCCACTTCTACTGGGAAATTGCCGGCTTCAGAGCAGTCTGCAAACCTGAGGACACCTGCCCTTCTCCAGACACCTTGGCAGGCAGCTTGTGTTATCATATTTAACAGAGATTACTTCAATTACAAATTGTAGTGATACGAGCCTGTAAAACTAATTCCAGTTACTCAGGAGGCTGAGGCAGGAGAAATCAAAAGTTTAGGCTTGAACTGCGGAGTGAGTTTAAGGCTAGATTTTCAAATTTAATGAGACAGTCTCAAAATAAAAGCTAAAATAAAGGCTCGGGACAGAGCTTGGTAACAGAACACTTGTCTAGCGTGTGCAACAAACCAGGTTCAATTCCCAGTACAACACACTCTCTCTCTCTCTTTCTCTCTCTCTCTCACACACACACACACACACAATTACTTCAGTTATCATGAATTAGTTGTTTTCCAGTTTTATTATTTTTGTTGTTGTTGTTTTTCTAGACAAGGTTTCTCTGTGTAGCCCTGGCTGTCCTGACACTCACTCTGTAACCCACACTGCCTTGAACTCAAGAGATTCACCTGCCTCTGCTTCCCAAGTGCTACAGTCAAAGGCGTATTTCATCACTGCCCAGCCTGTTTTACCAATTTACAATATATGATGGGAGGCTAGAGGATGACTCAGGGGGTAAAGGCCCTTGACACCAAGTAGATTGATGTGTTCAGTCCCTAGAACCTAGGCTGGGGAGCAGGCGCCTTTACCTTGCCATCCCAGGACTGCATTTTCTCTTTCTTTAATGTGTGTGTACTAGTATTTTGCCTACAGGTATGTCTGCACCCCATACATGGAGTGCCCTAGGAGGCCAGGAGGGGGCACTGGATTCCATGACACTTGCGATACAGACAGTTGTGAGCTACAACATGGGTGCTGAGGACCCCACCTCTGTAAGAACAAGTAACTGCTGAGCCATTTCTCCAACCCCTCACCCCCCTTTTTTTTAAAGACAGGGTCTCAGTATAGTCCTGGCTGATCTGGGATTCACTATGCAGACCATGCTAGCCTTGAACTCATCAACAATCTTCTTGCTTCAGCCTCCTGAGCGCTGGAATTACAGGTATGTGCCAGTCTGCCCAGTTCTCTCAAAACAGCTTGTCATACAGTGTGGACTGCCTTGAACTCCATCGACAGCCAAGGACGGCCCTGAACAACTGATCCTCCAGTTGCCACCTCCTAAATGGGAAGACTATAGGCTTGGGACACCACACCCAGCTTCTTCCTGTTCTCAAAAGACAAAACACTTCTATCATCCCTTGGAGGAACATGGAAGCTTTAGCTCCTTTACAACAGGGAAGAGCAGGGTGTGGTAGCTTACACCTACAAGCTCAGCACCTGTGAGGTCACTTGACTTCAGGAGTTCCAGAAGAGCTTGGTCTAAGACGCTCCAGCTCAAAAAAAAAAAAAAAAAAAAAAAAAAAAGGCAGGTGTGAAACTCCCCACACCTGCTTGTAGAGTTTTCACATGTGTTTTTGGAGACAGATAAAAATAAAGACAATGTGGACAGTAGCTCAGGCAATTCTGAGCCCAGGGTCAATGCTGAACCAAGTGCATATTTTAGTATAAAGAATCTGGGGTGGGTGAGATGGCTCAGAGAGTAAAAGTGCCTGCTGTGCAATCTGAATTCAATTCCCAGAGCTCACATAAAAAGCCTGATGTTGCACACATCTGCAACTCACAGCACTCCTGCAGTGAGATGCGGAGGCAGAGACAGGAGAACCTGTCTCACCAGAAGCTTACAGGCAGTATGAATTATATAACTCGGCAAAAACAAGAGTACATGGCGGGAAGAGAGCTGACTCTTGGAAGTTGCCCTCTGACCTCCACACGAGCAGTGGCAAGTGTATAACCACATTCACACACACATAATAATAAAAACACACACGTAATAATAAACACACAGGGCTCAACGTGGGGAACCTCATGGCTTAGAGTCCAAACTTACCAGCCTATCAGCAAGTAATACACACCAAGTCTCCTTACCTCCTTGGGGGGTTTGGGAGGGGGTGGTAGGCATCTAGGGTTGATGGCAGGCTTGGGAGGAATATACTCAGTTAAAGCCATTAGCTTCTGCCGCTCAAAGTGCATGACACGACGGTGGCGGGTCACAGCCTTGGAACCATGGCGCACATTGTGGAGGGTGGGCAGCCAAGCTGGAAGGGAAGACGGCAACACAGTAAGATAGAGTCTCTTGGAGGACCTGGCTTACCTCCAATGGACAAAAAGAACACCCCTACCCCAGACAAAGACATGGCCTGCAAATTAGACATGGCACAAAAAGTCTCTTCTCCTTTTAGTGGTCGACCTTAAGTGGGTCAGTCCCTTAAGACTCTCCTTTTTCTAGGTTTGTAACTATTGCTGGTTTTTGTTGTTTTTAGACAGGGACTCCTAGCCCAGGCTGCCTTGAACTCACTATGTAACTGAAGAAGACCCTCTGATCTGCCCTCTCCATCTAAGTGCTGTGTTTAGGTTACAGGTGTTTGCCTCTATGTCTGGTTTGGTTGTGTTGGGGACTGAATGCAGGGCTTCTGGACATGCTAGGTAAGCACTCTACCAGGCGGACCACAGACCCAGCCCTCTACAAGCCCTTATGTGAGGTGCTAGAATTTTAAAGGATTGTATCTTTTTTTTTTTTTTTTTTAACCAGGCAGTGGCAGCACACTCCTTTAGTTCCAGTACTCAGGAGTCAGATGCAGGTGGATACCTGTGAGTTTGAGGCCAGCCTGGTCCACAAACTGAGTTCCAGGACAGCCAGGCTATACAGAGAAAACCTGTCTCAAAAAAACAAAAACAAAAACAAAAACAAAAAACCCTGAAAAACAAAAAGAAGAAACAGAAACAAACTGGACAAAGCAGTGGACATCTTTACTCCTAGGGTTTGGGAGGCAGAAGCAGGTGGATCTCTTTGAGTCCAGGCCAGCTTAGGATACAACATCGAGACCCAGTCCTAAGATAAACAAGATGCACAGAAAACCAATCAAACAAACAGAAACCAGTGCAGCCACAAACATACTGGAGACTATGCCCCCGTAAACTTTAATCATCAACCTGCCATAAGGAGCTGGGACTGCAGCTAAGAGGTGCAGAACTGGTCTAATACGTGCCAAGACCTAGGCCCCATCCCCAGCAAGCAAACAAAAAGGAGCAGATAAAAGAAGAAAACAGCACTGTGACCAGCTCCACTGTAAAATGTCAGTCCCTGGTATTAGCAGCAGTTCTTTTTATTACTATTATTATTATTTAATCTTTATTTTATGTGCATTGGCACTTTGACTATGGGTGCCTGATCCCCTGGAACTGGAATTACAGACACTTATAAGCTGCCATGTGGGTGCTGGGAATTGAATCTGGGTCCTCTGGAAGAGCAGTCAGTGTTCTTAACCACTGAGCCATCTCTCCAGCCCCCTTAGCCAAAGTTCTTGAAGGGAACTTGTTGGAAACACATACTCTGATGTCTGCCCTAGACCTTCAAAAATCTCTGGGGCAGAGTCCGGCAAGTTGTCTTTAAATAAGCCCTTCTGGTGATATTGCCTGGCTCCATCCCACAGCTCTGAGGCCTGCTCCTATGACATGACCCAAGAGGGAGAAAAACACTTTACACCACCCTCACAACTGTCTCAAGTCTTTCCTCAGGTCAGATACGTGACAAACACCAGTAATCCAAGCTCTTAGGAAGTAAAAGCAGGAGGATAAGGAGTTCAAGGCCAACATCAGCAACGTGAGACCCTGACTGAAAAGGCAAAAATAACAGCCTGGGAGATGATTCATCCAGTGCAGTAAACGCACTTAACACCAAGCCTGATGACTTGGGCTCAACCCCCAGACTGCCTATGGTGGAGAAAACCTTCACGTAAGTTGTCCTTTGACCTTTGTGTGTCCAATGGCACATTCTTGATGACAAGAAAAGCTTGAAAGGCCCTCTCAGAAAGCAAGGAAACGGCTGGGAGTTGGTGGCGCACGCCTTTAATCCCAGCACTCGGGAGGCAGAGGCAGGCGGATCTCTGTGAGTTCGAGGCCAGCCTGGTCTACAGAGTGAGTTCCAGGACAGCCTCCAAAGCCACAGAGAAACCCTGACTCGAAAAACCAAAAAAAGAAAAAAGAAAAAAAAAAAAAAAAAGCAAGGAAACACTCCAAAGCTCTGAATCAAAGTGTCTCTTGCACTTCCAACATAAAGACCGTCACTGTGGTTTCCAGGCATGGCAGAAAAAGGATCAGCTAAAAGACTCTTGGAGAATATGGAGGGTCACGAGGGTGACAGGTTTTGTGGTCAATGGCCCAAGACCTGTTAAGAGTGTCTTTAGAATGAGACGGAACTGGATTTTAAGCCTGCTCGGCAGACTGTTAGTGTTATTCTTGCCCTGCCAATGAACTGGTCCAGACTTCATTGTGCTCGTCTGAAAAGAGAGGGGTGGATACTGCCTTCCTCCCGAGGTGCTTTGGCTGTAAGAGTTAAGTGAGGCAATACGTGTAACAAAATAGCCACAATCCCTGGCCTACAGTACGGTGTCAGATCTGCTAACGTCAGGCACCACACCACTTTCTAGCTGAGTGGACACTGTCCTGCCCTCCACGGAGCTTAACAGCCGAGACAGGCGCGTGGGAAAATGCAAAACTAGAATGGGAACTGACTAAGCGGGGGTGTCAATAAACAGGATACAAGCAAAGGATTTCACTGAGGAACCTGCTTTATAAAGACAAGACTTGAGGAAGCTACGCTTAGGCTGGCCTTAAACAATATAGTAAGATCCCAGCAAGGACTCTCCGGGATCGGGGGCAAGAACTAAGCGAAGGGTTAGAAAAATCCAAAGCAGAAATAAACATTATTGTTGGCGACACCGTTGCTGTCGTTACCAGAGTGTGTCTGGGGGTGGGGGTAGAGGGGATGGACCCAGGCGAATCAGAGATCCGGCTACAGAGCTGTCAGAGATCACGGAGAAGGTCAGAGGGGAAGGGAGGCGAGGGCTGGAGAGCGCCGGCCTGTGCGCGGGGAGGCCCTGGGCCGCTCCTTACCCGCCCGGGGCGGGAGACTTCCTCGAAGAATCCCCGCCACCGCCGCAGCCATCGCTACAGGAAGTTCCCACGAGCGCTGCGCGGAGACCGAAGGAGCTAAGGATTGTGGGGCACCAGGGCCGGAAGTAGTAGGAGAGCCACCGGAAGGAGCCTCTATTCGCTTACGTAGAGTCCCGCCCCCACTCCTACGGTCCGTCGGTCCTGGCGTCCAGTCTCCTAGCAACGCCGCGAGACCTCAAAGAACCGTTCTTCTTATCCTCCCAGTCCCTTCAGTTTGGCCAGTAAAGCCACGCCACACTCCTCTAACTCCAGATCCTTTTACTCCCGTTTATTCCCACTTTTTCACCGCACCCCAAACAACTGGCTCGGAACCAACCATCCCTTGTCTGCTAAGTCTCCCTCCAGCCTGGTTTCAGTCCTCCCAGCCGGCCGCTAAGCTCGGCTCCTCTTCGTCCATCTCCAGTTAGGTCATGCCAGGAGGTGAGGAGGAAGGTGAGTTGCTGTACAGAACAACCGGGCAGCTCTCCAAGAATGTAGACAAGTGACAAAGGGGCTCGTCTTTTCACAGCTAAGAGTGCTGCCCGGACACAGGAAGGGGAAGTCCTCATTACTGAAGCCCTTATCACCAAGAGGAACCTGACCTTCCCTGCGGATGAAGACCTGTCAGAAAAGATGTGCGTGGGGAAAAAGGAAAGGGAAAGGCAGAAAACTGAGACACAGGCGTCACAGATGTTCAGTTTGCCGAGCTATGTGATTTTGTAATTCGTTTGTCTCTCCACACTCCAATCAATAGTACTTCCCTTTGAGTTTTCCTTTCTTTTTCTTTTCTTTTTTCTTTGTCTTTTTTTGGCTTTTCGAGTCAGGGTTTCTCTGCATGATTTTTCCTTCTTAAAGATGGTCCTTTTTTGGCGTCATCCTTAGCTGCCTTAGAGCATGCTCTGGCAAACTCAGAAATTCTCCCCACACTGTTGTTGCCCAGTTGATCTTTATAGATTATAGATCTAATTACTCCCTGGTAGAAACTTCCTCAGCAACCTGTTACATCCACAATAAAATCCAAACAGCATGAACCGAAACATTTCCAGCCACACCAAAAAGTGTGCAATTTCTCACACCCAGTTCTTGCCCCCTTATTACTCAGAAGTGAGAGCAGCTTGACGTCACCTGAGAGCTTGTTAGAAACGAAGACTGTCCACTGGGGATTAGCTCACTTGACAGAGTGCTAAGCACCACATAAAACTGTCCTTGGTGTAATCCCAAGAGGTAGAGGCAGGAAGATCGGAAGTTCAAGACCATCCTCCTCAGCTACAGAGTGAGTCTGAGGCCACCCTGGGCTAATGAAGCCTTGGCTTTAAGAGAAAGAAAAGAAAAGGTACCCATATCAAACCTACTGGCTTAGGATCTTCATCTCCCAGTACACAAAGGATTCACAGGCACATCCAAGTTCAAGACAGGCTGGCTCAGCACGGGCAAGTGCTATTTGTCCTGCTCGAATGTCTTGTCCCCATCCTTCTCCCACTGCCTAGGTGTCAGTCACCTCCTCTAGGAAGTTGCTCCTGATTCCTCCACTCTGGAGTGGGCACACGGCCTATGCGCCCACTTTTCATTTCTTGTACCTGCCTCTGGCATCCACTTGGCCGGCCTCCCTGATAATGATGGGCAAGGACCTATGTCATTTGTCTGGAGGACACTCAGTTAATCTGGAAGTAAGGAACGTATGGATGGAACAAGTGATTTCCCCTCCATGGGGGACTCAAAATGGGAGTGAGGGAGCTTCTTCCAGAAGCTATGAGAGAATTTCTGCATCTATCCCCACCCTGCCTCCACCATCAAGCTGATGAAGGAAGGCCTGTCTTGTTTTGAATCTCCAGGAGCTGTGAGCAGCCACCAGTTATCCAGAGGGCCCCCGTCAGCTTCCACCAACAGAGGACCGTGTGTCTGAAACTAGCTAGTCTCATGACCTAGACACCACTCCTCGGGTCAAGGAGCTGTTCTTGACATCTCATCAAAACCATTTAGCCTAAGCCCGGTGGTGGTGGCACACGCCTTTAATCCCAGCACTCGGGAGGCAGAGGCAGGCAGATCTCTGTGAGTTCGAGGCCAGCCTGGTCTACCCAGCGAGTTCCAGGACAGCCTCCAAAACAATACAGAGAAACCCTGTCTCGAAAAAAAAACCAAACAAACCATTCAGCCCTCTTCCCTCCCATCGTCCACTAAGAGCCCACAGGTGTGGACCCTAGTGCACCATTTTGCTCACTCTCCTCCTCCAGATTTCATTCCCTTGATGAACTGGAGACCGTCCGCCTGGATCGGGAAGGGATTACTTCTATTGGAAATTTAGAGGGCCTCCGGAATATTCACAGCCTCTACCTGCAGTCGGTAAGGTCTTGCCCCTATGCCTTCTGTCTTCTCCCTGCTGTGACCCTAGTCTATCTACCCTGAAAACCAATGACCGGTTCATCTTTTTCATTTCTCGTGTTTAGGTAAGTGGAACATTCCTAAATGAATCAGTAATCCTCCTGAATTGAAAGACTGATTTCTGGCCTGGCGGTGGTGGTACACACCTTTAATCCCAGTACTTGGAAGGTAGAGGCAATCGGATTTCTGTGAGTTCGAGGCCTGTCTGGTGTATAAAGCAAGTGACAGGACAGCCAGGCTATACAGAGAAACCCTGTCTTGAAACAAACAAAAAGACTTATTTCCTATCCCAACCCCACCAAGAGCTCCTAAAAAAGCTCTTGAGTTACCATTCCAGTTGGGGATAGTGGCATATGGCAGTCTCTAGAGTACCCAGGAGGCTGAAGCAGAAAAATCCCAGTGCTGGAATTAAAGGTGTGCACCACTAACTGCGCAACGCCCTTAAACTTCTTTACAAACGTTGTGAATCAACTAATATACAGTCATCATTCCTTCTGGGTTTACAGGCCACCTCTGGCTTCCTTCTTTTGAGTCTCCAGTCCTTTGGCTCCGCTCACTGGACTAGCTCAAAGTTCACACATTAACTATTGACCAGAAAAAACGAACCCTCTTCCCCAAGGTAGTGGCATCCAGCCTCGGTCAGGTTGAGTGACTATCATTCTCAAAGTGTAATGGCCACAGCTGAGAGTAGTCATGGTAAAATTAGGGCTTTGTCCCCTTAAAAAGCCTTCCCCACCCAGCTGATCTTAAACTTGGCTTCCCCACCTTGTTTTCTTCCCGCAGAATAAGATCCAGAGAATTGAGAACTTGTCATGCATCACCTCCCTGCGGTATGTGGCACCAAGACAGCAAAGGCGTCAGGAGTGGGTGGCGAGAAACTGGGTATACCCCTGCAGCTGTCCTGGGGCTCTGCAAGCCTGGCTCTTTTCAGATGAGAAGTCTAGCTCTGCTCTGCTCTCCTCACCCCACAAGGCTTTGTGTCCCCACTTGTCAGTCACTACCTACACAGGGGAGCTTGGGTCCCTGGTGCCCTCCTCCAGCAGTCCTGTAGCTCAGCCTTGTCTCTGCCCCTCTCTCTTCCTCTGCAGCTTCCTGTCTCTGGCAGGAAACCAAATCAGGCAGGTGGAAAATCTCCTTGACCTCCAGTATCTCCAGTTTCTGGACCTTTCTGAGAACCTGATAGAAATGCTAAAGCTAGGTAGGAACACCGTGCCCTGGCTCATGGAATGGATCCCATGTGGTGTCCGCCCTCCTCTTGGCTCCATGCTCCTTGTGATTTTGCTCCTCTCTCCCCCCTGGAGGGGAACAGCAGGCATGAGACCCTCACTCATTCTTTCTACCGCACAGATGAGCTCCCTCAGAGCCTTCTCATCCTCAACTTGTGTGGAAACCCCTGCACCAACAAGAATGGCTACAGGTGAGGGGACTGGAGGTGGGGTGAAGACATCTGGATGAGCATTGCCCACTGCTCCAGGAAGCCACTCTCAGCCTGCAGCCCTCATGTGTCTATTTTGCCCTCTGACCCCAGACTGAGTCTGTCCCTTTCCAAAAGTCCCATATCCAACGCCTCCCAGGAGCCAGCCTTTTGCTCTTTGGGCTGACTCCAGACCTGTCTCCTAGTCTCAGAGCCATACATACCTAGGTGTGGGCATTGACGCACATGTCACTGTGTCCTCCCAGGTTCTACACCAAAGATGCCTCATGGGTAACCTCTGTTTCTTCTGCCAAACAGGAAGATGGTGATAGGAGCCCTGCCATTGCTCTTGGACCTGGATAAGCAGCCTATATTGGAGCGCTGGACGTCAGATGAAGAGGATAAATCCTCAGATGAGGAGGAGGAATTTCCGGAGATGAATGGCCCGTTCTGTGCAGAGCGAGGTGGTTATTTTCCACAGCTTGTAGCCTCCCCGGTTCGCATTGCCCTAGGAAATGGGGAACAACACTGACACTACCTCTGCCCTGATCCTCTCTCCAGCTCTGTGTTCTCCTCCACTCCAGGCCCTTCATGTTTCCAGAGGGCCAGTAAGGACAGTGGAAGGTGACATCTTCCCAGCATGGCTCAGTCCTTGGGGTTACACGCTCACTTTCCATCAGCCTCAGGGCCCCCTGCTCCTTATGATTGAATGTCAGTGACCCTCCTCTGCCTGGAATCAGCAGAGGATGTGGGGTGCATCTCTTCCCAGCCCCAACCCAACACTTAGTCTACTAGGGATGCCAGTAGGTTTATCAGAGCCGTCCCTGAGGCCAAGGCTCTCCTGCTGAGCCTGGGCTCCACCTCTCCTCCCCCAGGGTTCTTCAAGGACTTGGAGCAGGAACTACAGCAACATCAGGGACGAAGGCAGCAGGCGGCCCTGGCAGAGCACTCATCAAGGATGGAGACACAGCCAGTCCTCACTGAGCTGCCAGCCCTCACTGAGCTGCCCCTCCTGCCCCCAGTGCCCATGGCCGGGGACAGCAACCCTGTTGTCCCTGCAGAGCCTGAGAAGGAGTCAGTCCCTAAGGCCACCTCCTCAACCCGGACCACCACTTCTACCAAGAAACCAGTTCCCACAAGCCAAAAAAGCTCTGTCCGGGCAAGGAAGGAGGCTCCGGCAGCCACAGCCCCCAGCACGTCAAAAACTACAACCAAAAGAAGCACAAAGTAGCACACAGCCTCTGCCGGCTTGCCCTCCTCCTCAGGCCTCTCACTTGTGGCAGGGGCCCCACCCCCTAATAAAGTATCTTTGCACTTGGGATGCTTTGTGTGTCACATGGGTTAAGTCAAGGAAAGGAACCAAAACCACAGTCCCCAAATCAGCTTAACCTTTCAGGAATGACCCAAAGGGCTGGCATCTCTCTTGGTCCCCAGCTGGTTTGCTGGCCCCCAAGTGGGCAAGAAGTGGGGACTACCTCACAAAAGATGCTGTCTCATGGTGAGACAGCTTTGTGTTATTTTGATTTTTTTTTTTTTTTTTTGGTTTTTCGAGACAGGGTTTCTCTGTAGCTTTGGAGGCTGTCCTGGAACTCACTTTGTAGACCAGGCTGGCCTCGAACTCACAGAGATCCGCCTGCCTCTGCCTCCCGAGTGCTGGGATTAAAGGCGTGCACCACAAACGCCCGGCCTGTTTTGATTTTTTTAGACAGTGCTTCACTGTGTAATCCTGACTGGCCTGGAACTTACTATGTAAACCAGGCTAGCAGGAACTCAAAGAAATCTACTTGCCTCTGCCTCCTGAGTAATTGGATTAAAGACATGCTACCATGCAGTCCAAGCTAAGGACTAAAACCTTGGGATCCTGATTGTCCCCAAATAGCAGACAGCTCTCATGACCTTGGGTCTTCATGCAAACACACATGAGTTAGGTCCCATCACACCCATAATTAGGGTTTATGGCTTGGCACCACAGGCGCCTCAGCTCTCCCCAACAGACCTGAGATACACTTCACTAAACAAGGAAATAAAACATATTTATTAAGTCAGCGGCTTTACCAGCCACCCAGAGCCTGGATGAGTGGTGTGAAGGGATGGTTGGGACCGCCCCACAGCTCACAGCTGGACTCAGAGCTCCTGCACCCAGTGGACCAGGAGCTGTTGCATGCTTAAGCATAGGCCTGGTGCTCCTTCTCCACAAAGGCCTGGAAGAGGCTGCCCAGCGCCTGGGGAGGTGGGGTCTGTCCACCAGTAAGTAGTCCTCTGAGAGCCTCCAGGCCTTCCTGCTCCAGGCTCTGCTGCATTTGCCGGAGCTGTTTTCCCTGATCCTGCCAGGAAAGGATGAGGTAAGGAATGTGGACCCTCTCCACCAGGCAGGAGACTAGCTGGAGGGCCCACCTGCCCCCAGCTCTGCAGTCTCTTCGAGGCCCAGGGCCCTTTACGATTCCAGATACCAGCAAGGTAAAGGTATTTCCTACCTGCCCTCAGCATAGTCCCAGAAGGTTACCTGCCCGGCCTCCATCAGCCCCAGGGCTGCCTGGTGTCCACGATAGAGTAAGTGCTGACGATCCACCTGAGTCTGGAATCGGGGGAGGATCCGAACAGGGTCCTGGGCTCCAAAGGTGGGGGACAGTACCTGGGGGGCCTGGGCCACCCCCATCTCAAAGATGAAAGGCTTGAATACAGACCTAACGAGACAGGTTGAAGGGCTGAGGTAACAGCAGGGGACTTGTCCTATCCTGTCCTGTCCCCTGCCCTGTATGTGCTCTTCAGCCTCACCTGGATGGGTCTGGTGTGGCAGTGAGGAAATGGACACAGGGCTTGGTGGGATCCTGGGGCAGGACCGACACCATGCTGGCTGTGGTGCGGAAGCCTCCGGAGTCCATGCAGATGCCACTCTCCTTGTTCCTGAGGATGTCCATCATCACCTCTGCTGTGATACGGCCTGTAAAGGAGGAGGGGCAGGGACTCAGCAAGCAAGTGTGAGAGAGACTCTAGGCCAGGGTGCCACGACCCTCTTGTCCACTCACAGACCTTGTTGCTGAAGCAGCAGCTCACGTCCAGCCCGGAAGCGGGCCTTGGCAGCTTCCATTCGTACAGGCTGTTGGGTCAGGGAGAAGACCTCTGCAAAGTCAAAGGTGCCCTGTCCAGTCCACCAACCCTGGGCCTTGGCATGGCTTCGGAGTTCTGGGTGTTCTGCTGAGATGTCGGTGCCAATGCTCAGCTGGTTAGAAATGTTGCGGGCACCCCCTGTGGAAGAAGAGGGACTTATTCATCTATCACAGAGCACTCACTATATGCCAGGCCCTAGGTAAGGTGCTTGGATTACATTTTTGGGGAGTCTTGGGGGGCTTTGGGTTTTTTTGTTTGTTTGTTTGTTTGTTTGTTTGTTTTCAAGACAGGGTTTCTCTGTGTAGCTTTGGAGCCTGTCCTGGAACTCACTCTGTAGACCAGGCTGGCCTCGAACTCACAGAGATCCACCTGCCAAGTGCTGGGATTAAAGGTGCTTTAACAAACACAGCCTGCCCTCAAGGGCCCTACAGTGATGAGGAGACAGACAAATCAATCAGAGATAAATCATAGGGATGGACACGATGAGGAAGTTCCAGGAAGGCTTTCCAGATGAAAGGGCAGGCTGGCCAAGGGATGTCAGGGAGAACAAATGTCATAACCTCCAGAAGTGGAGGGCAGTACCTGGGGAGGTCTAGGTTCCCTCTCGGAGACAGGCTCTATGCTAGACTCCTACCCTGGATCCGCTGAGCAGCCCACAGCCTCCCTGCTGTCTCCAGCACCCACGCCTCTGTCCGGTCAGCCAGTAGGAAGGTGTTATGATAGCAGAATGGAACGGGTTCCTCCCGGCAGCTGCCCCCCTGTCCATAGCGTTCCAGCAAGCCTGCGATCACACGCACAGCCTCCTGGGCAGTACTGCTCCGCTCCAGAGCCAGCCTGGCGGAAAATCAGAGGACAGAGTGATCCAGAGAGGTCTGATGAAAAACCCACCTTTCCCAGCAAACCCAGCAGCAGTGATGGTGTGTTACACATGCCTGTGATCCCTACCTAGACGTGGAGGCAGGAGGATCAAACGTTCAACTCCAGACTCAGCTACATACTATGTGACTCCTTATCTCCAAACAGACAAAAATACCCAGGCAAAATGAAAAATCAGCCACATGTGGTGCTAAACACCTTTACCCCCAGCACTTGGGAGGCAGAGGCAGGTGGATCTGAGTTCAAGGACAGCCTGGTCTACATAGTGAATTCTAGGTCAGTCTGGGATATACAATGAGAAGCTGTTTCAAAACACAAAACAAAACAAAAACAAGAAGAAAAAAATGAAAAAGCCATATGCCCATGGTTTCCAAGCTTTGAACTGAGAGTTCATGGAAAGATCTGGAAAACTGTTTCCAAAGAAGAAGTGTCCGACTCCTCCCTAGTCAGAGCCGCCCACCTTTGCCAGTTTCTATAAACTTCTATAGACGGTTTCAGTTAACAAAAATAGTACTGACAAAAAAAAATTAAACCACTCTGGGCCGCTGGGCGTTTGTGGCACACGCCTTTAATCCCAGCACTCGGGAGGCAGAGGCAGGCGGATCTCTGTGAGTTCGAGGCCAGCCTGGTCTACAGAGTGAGTTCCAGGACAGCCTCCAAAGCCACAGAGAAACCTTGTCTCGAAAAACCAAAAAAATAAATAAATAAATAAATAACAAAACACTCTGGGCCAAAGGAGGTTCTTTATCAGGCTTGGTGGCCTTTACCTTTAATCCCAGCACTTGGGAGGCAGAGGCAGGAGGATCTCTGCATTCAAGGCCAGCTTGGTCTACAGAGAAAGTTCCAGGACTGCCAATGCTACACAGAGAAACCCTGTCTTGAAAATTCAAAGACAGAAGAGGGGCAAGGAGGAGAAAGAAGAGGAGGAAGAGGAGGAGGAGGAAGAAGAAGACAGAAGGTCTACTGCAGCCTTCTTAGAGAGGCCACAGGACAAGGTCAACAGAGATGCAAGCCCAGTAAACCAGAGTGTTAGGGGGAGAGGGTGGGCATGAAGAGCCGGTCTGTACCTGAGTAGATCCATACCCAGCAGGGCTTCCCCCTCCCCAACAGGCTCCTTGGTCCACACTGCCTCATTGCCAATGCAGACACCATGTTCATTGGCTCCCATCTCGGCCCCCCACAGCCAAGAAGGGCGGCTCAGAATCACAGCATGAGTCTTTAACACCTGTTCCACCTCGATGTAGGTGCACTGGAGGTAAAGAAATGGAGAATTCACTGAAAAAAAGATCCGGGACCTGCATTGCTCTGGCCATTTTATATAAAGGCCTTAAGGTCTTATTCTCAGATCACACATGAGTAAACCTAGTTAGCAGAGGCTAACTAGTCTCAAGGTCCAGGTTGGTGGATTTAAAGTCCATACTCTTCCCACAGCATCTGCCAGCATCCCAGGTACAAGAAAACGAAGGTCTAAAGCTTGCAACTCCTTTTAAGTCCTAACCCACCTGAAGCCGGCTCCCAGGGGCATGAGTGCCTGCTGGTATAAACACCACCTCCTGCACCTCATCTCGGGGGCGGTCTGAGTTCTTTGCAAAGATCACAGCAGGGATGGCTGAGGCAGGGGGCACAGAGACAAAGCAGTCGCAGGAACAAGGGGCCTCAGGGCTCGACGAGGCCATCTGCGAAGAGGTGGCGATGATTATGTCCTTCCAGTGCCACCTCTCCATAATCCTGGCCACCGGTGGGGCCTAGGACGCTCCCTCCTATAACATGTGAACTCAGACAAGACAGAATTCATGCCAGACGCTCCGGGACAACAGCACTGTGTGCACGCTCAGAGAGCAGTGTGCACTAACCGTGCACTTAGAGTCAGCAGACAACGCAGACTCTCCAAGTTAGGAGTGTCCGCCTTGGAATCCTAGCCCTTCCGGGCTGTAGTGGTAGTTTCCAGGCACTAACGCCGGCTGCAAGAATCGCACGCTCGTGTGCATGCCCACATTCCCGCTACTCTTCCGTCCAACCCTTTCCAAGTCCTCAGTACCTCCACCTCTCACCCTTTCTGCCTCCAAGACCTTCAAAGTCGGTTCAGTACGCCACCTCCTCTGCTTCAAGTCAGATCTCTTCTTCTGGACCCTTGTACCTAGGTGGCCTGGAAGGCCTTTGTCCCCGGGGCGGGGCCGGAACAGAACACCTGAAATCCCACCGTTTCCCACCAGGGTGCGCGCTAGCTAGCACTACTTCTTGGAACTAAGTGGCCTTCCAAATCCTACCTGGGTGTCCTGGACTTCCCATTCAGGCTTATCAGAGAGTCACTATTAGGAGGTGGAGCTGAAGCAGAAAAGAAGTCTGAGTGCAGAAAGTATTCATATAATAGCCAACGCTGCTGGGGGGGTGCGGGTCTGAAGATTAAGGAAGAACTTTAGCTGCCTGTATCCTGACTTGAATTCCAAAGACTCAATCCTAGTAAAACTGCAGAGCACAAGACAGGCATAGGGATATCTCAAGTTACTGTATCGTTTATTTTACTAATTTTTTAAAAATTATTTTTAGGAGTTAGAGAGATAGCTCAGCGCTTAAGGGCACTGGGTGCTCTTGCAGAGGACCTGGGTTTGATTCCCAACTCCCACACAGTGCCTCATAGCCGTCTGTAATTCCACTTACAGGGAATCCGATGCCTTCTGGCCTCCATGTGCACCAGGCACATATGTGGTGTACAGACACACATACCGGCAAAACATCCATACACATAAAAGTTTTCATTTTATAATTATGTGTGTGTGATTTATGTGTACGGGAAGGCATGTGCCCGAGGAAGCCAGAAGAGAGTGTCCCGTCCCTGGAAGCTGGAATTACAGGTCATTGTGAGCCACCTGGCATGGGTAGTGGGAACCAAACTCAGGGTTTCTGCAAGATCAGTAATCGCTCATTTTACTTTCAACTTTAGATGCCCTTCTTAGAAGCTGTCCACCTTGCTGTTGTGTCTTTGGGAGGTTATTTATGTGTAGTCATGTGTGCGGGTATACATACACTTGTATCTGCATGCTGGTGCAGACCAGAGGTCAACATTGGGTGTTTTCTACAGTTGCTCTCCATCTTAGTTTTTGGGGCAGAGCCTCTGATGAAACCTGAAGCTTGTTGATTCTGCCCAGTGCAGATTCTGCCTGTCTCTACCTCCCCAGGGCTGGATTGTGAGTGTATGTCGCGCTGGGGATAGAACCCAGACCCTCATGTTTGCATGGTAGGCATTTTATTATTTGAACCCTTACTGGATGAATCATCTCCTAGCCTCCGTGTCACAAGGAGACATACACAAAACCCTCCTGTCTCCAAAAACCCAAGTTCTGTTCTGCCCCATGAGTGCTTAAGATTATAGAAAGATAATTTTGCGCTAGGAGATGGTGGCACACGCCTTTAATCCCGCTTGGGAGGCAGAGGAAAGTGGATCTCTGTGAGTTTGAGGTCACCTTAGTCTACAGATCAAGTTCCAGGACAGCCTCCAAAGCTACAGAGATACAGAAAAACTATCTAGAAAACCCCCTGCAAAAAAAAAAAAAAGAAGAAAAAAGAAAAGTTACTTTGAAAGGAAATTTAGAAATGTCTATTCCAAAAATGTGATATCTCTACCCTCTACATGCAGTGAAAATGAGATAGCAAAGGAGAAATCTGGGCTAAGAGGAACACACAGTAGGGTGAAACTGTATTCCAACCTCAAAAATTTCAGGCTTTCAGTTCATTTTCCTCTATGAATCATCTCTGTAGCCATCACTGAGGAAAATGCATCTCATACATTTATGCTTCTAAGGCCTCTGGGAATTATTTCTAGGGGTTACATGGAGTCTGTAATGCAATAATCTTAATTCTTGCAATACATAAATGAAGTGCATTCATGTGTGTGCCTGTGTGTGTGAGTGTGAGCACATGGGCATGCATTCTTCAGTTCCTCAGTTTCTTCCTTTCCTTTTCTTTTTCTTTATCTTTTGTTTTTGTTTTTTGAGACAGGGTTTCTCTGTGCAGGCCTGGCTGTCCTGGAACTCACTTTGTAGACCAGGCTGGCCTTGAACTCACAGAGATCTACCTGGCTCTGCCTCTCAAGTGCTGGGATTAAAGACATGAGCCACCACTGCTTGCCCACATTCTTCAGTTTTTTAGTCTCGGGGAATGGGGATGTAGCTCCGTTGGTAGAGTACTTTCCTAGCATGCATGAACCCTGGATTCAGTCCTAAGCATTGCATAAACTGGGTGTGGTGGAGAACACCTGTAATCCCAGGAGGATCAGAAGTTCATGGTATCCTTGGTTACAGAGGGAGTTCAATGCCATCCTGGGCAGGAGTGTCTGAGTCTAAATAAATTTGTTTTTTAGCGTACAAATTTTCCCTGTCTTTCTCACTAGGATTGCATCTTTGGAATTCAAGTTAGGATGCAGCTGAGGTCCTTTCTAATCTTTAGATACCACAATCATCTGTGGCTCCAGTCCAGGGTTTTTGACGCTCTCCTGTAGACTCTAAGGGCACTGCATTCATGTGGTGTACATACATATACGCAGGCAAAACATTCATACACATGAAACTATTTTTGTTTTTCGAGACAGGGTTTCTCTGTGCAGCCCTGGCTGTCCTGGAACTCGTTGTAGACCAGGCTGGCCTTGAACCCACAGAGATCCACCTGCCTCAGCCCCCCACGTGCTGGGATTAACAGCCATGTCAAAAAAAAGTTTTAAGAGACATTTCTTATATTGTTTTCTGTGACTTTATTGATTAGTTCTAATAGTTCTTTGGTTTTGTTCCTACGATTCTTTTTAAATTTACGTTGCTGGTATTATCCATAAGGCAGTAAAGGATTGTTGGGGACGTTAAAGCTGCTTCAGTGAGTCTTGGACGTTGTACCACCTCAAACCTCAAGGCTGTACCTGCTTACAGTCTTGAGACAGCATTCGGGGCGCCCTGCGGAAAAGGTAGGTTCCTCATCCACACTTCCCCAGATGTCCGCTGGGGGGCGGGACAGGCCGAAGGAGGAGGCAGCCGGAAAAGCAGAATGGTGAAGACGGCCGACTCCAAGCAACCCCAGGCTTCCTTCCGGGGCTGCCTTCGGTCACGTTTCCACTTTTGACTTCATTCACCCGCCCTAGAGGTATTCTACTTCACTTCTCTGGTTAGGAGAAGAATCAGAGAGGTCAATCCAGACGGGATGATTCCTTCCCTCTCAGCCTCTCCGCTACAGCCCTGCTGGGGTGCCACTTCTGAGGGGCCATAGGTGACCCTGGGTTCCCTCAGGAGGCCCAGGCCAGCCAGGCAGCATTGCAGAGGATCAAGCATGCATCAGAGCCCCACCAAAGGCCCCTGCTAAGAATGCAGGTCAGCTGGAGGAGTAGCACGGGGAGGAGGGAGGGCCCTGGCCCTGCCCAGACAAGCCCAGCCGGCCCTACAGCTGCCTTCCTGTCCCTGGGGGCAAATATGGGGAAAAAGAGGGGACTCACCAGGTTTCTGGGGTCTAATTCCCCTAGAACCAAGACAAAGAGGTGCCCGATGGGGTTGTCTCAGGCAGGTCACAGGTAAACAAGGCTCTGAGCTGTTGTGCCCAGTAACAGATGAAAACAGGTGCACCCCCTCTCCCAACCAGTCTGGCTTTCTCCACAGTCCCTAAGTCATCCTAATGCCCCCTCCCAAGTTTCCCTTACACCCTGAGCCCCCAGAACTCTCAGACATGTGATAGGACAGGCCAATCCTAGAAACAGATTTAGTTGGAGAAATTGGGTTAGGGGTTGCAGGGACTAGAAATCCCACCAGGGGAAAACAATACATTCGGATACATAAATAAATTTAAATAAATAAATAAATAGATGGAATGTTGGGAAGGGTGGAAGGACATAATGACCAACCTTGTCCTGAAGAGACAGGAAGCCAAAACAAAAGCCGCTCCCCTGTCACCTTCCAAACACTGGGACTCTGCAGTCAGGAGGCTTTCACTCACTGGACATGACTGGGTACCAGCTATGGGTGGGCATTTCTAGTCTCTCTGAAGACAGCGAGTTCTGTGAGGGTGTGTCTGTACACACTGCCATTTCGTAACCCTGGCAGGTTTCTCCCTTTGAGTAGTAGTAGCAACCTTTCCCTCATACTTTCCAGCTGGGCAGGTGCCCATCAGATATCGGGGCTGCCTTTCATCGCCTTGTCTCTGATAGGGATCGTCCAGGGTGAAGAAATCGTTGTCAGTCACCCCCACCTCACCGGCAGCCAGAGGGACCGGCTGACATGCATGCTCCCATGGGGGTGGGGAGAGGACTTAGAAGCAGAATACGGAAACATCTGGAAACCCCTCTCCACGGATGAGTACCAGAGACTACTGATCCAGAAGCAGTCTTTCTCTCCTTACCCCTTCCAGGATAGGCTCAGATGCAAGCTCTGACCCAACCAATTGAATAGACGTGATGCTTGCCCAAGGATCCCCTACCAGTCCTCACTGTGGAGGGACAGAGGCAAAAAAAAAAAAAAACAGGGCTGTGCTGGAAGACAAATAAAGCAAGATGTGGTTGGTTGATGACTTTATTGTTGCATAAAAAACACAGGCTGTTTCTGCCTCCTCCTCCCCCCCAGGTGGGTTCACAGCAGTTAAAGAAAAAAAATCCTACATTTTCCTCTAGGGGGGGGCTGCCTAGAAGGGCAGGCAGCTGAGAAACCTAGATTGATAAAGAGCAGCCTCCCCTGCAGATCTTAGGGTTCAGAACTTCTATAAGGGGCAGCATGCATGCCCCCACACCCATGTAGGAGTTCCCCTAAGAACGGTCACTGGAAAAGATTGTCTTGGTAGCACAGGGAGAAGGGTGGCTGGTTTCGATGGGTGGAGGGAAAGCATCCCACACCCACGGTGGCCTTCTTCCTCCCCCTCCGTACCCAGCCAGGCATCCTGCAGGCACGACCAGCTTTGCCCTAGCCCTCAGCCTCCTTGTAAGAATGAGGGCCTCTGGCTAGGTTAGCAGGAGGTGAGGAGAAGAGGGAGAATACAGAAAGAACCTTATGCTTAAACTACCTCAGGCCCCTGAGTCCCACAGGGAGTCACCCTGTCCCTTTGAAGGAGGAGCCCTTTCTACACAAACACATATTCCTACCCAGATCCCAGCCCCTACTTCCCAAACAGCTCCCAGTCCTGGGCTCCAGCATCCCCAATGGCAGAAGAGACACTGTGGGTGTAGGCCCCAGACCATGGACGGGGTGAACAAGATGGGGTCTCAAGAGACCCCAGGCTCAGTAGAGAAACACATACATACATACGTACAGATACAGACAACACACACACATGCACTCACACCCTAATTATTAAATAAAATACCCTTTGCTTATAACTTAAAAGTCAACACACAGCTATTCCCTGCAGAGGGTTCTGGGTGGAGAGAAGAGAGAAAGGAGAGGTCGGAGGGACTCAGGCCTCTACCTCAAACCTGAGAGTGCCCCCACCCCAGGGTCCTGCCGTCTGCCAGGCAGAAAACTACCTTCCCCACCCTGTGATCAAACCCAAATGTATCTCTAGCATCTAAGAAGGGGACAAAGAAACAGCTTCCTAGAATCCCTTCCGGTGGGTAACTCTTCATGTGGAAGGGGATTTCCCCCTGGGGGCGAAGGAAAAGGGGCTCTGGAACCATGGAGGGAACACGGAAGGGTCCAGCTGAAAAGAAACGGCAGGGGCAGGGTCCTCCACTGTAGTCCCTCTGCTAGGACAACCCCAACAGTCGAAGGACTCCCCTCCCTTCCATCCATCCCCAAAGGGAAAGCTAAGGATGGAGACCAGGGGGTTGGGTGGGTGGGGTACGTGAGTCTGTGTCAACTCTGGAGCTGGTGGCTGACTTTAGAAAACTATCTAGGGTAATGGATGGGGGAACGGAGACTACTGAATTTGGTTTCTTTTAAAAGTTCTAAGAGTTAAGGACTGAATTAGAGTTGAAGAGGGAAGAATTGGTTAGTTCTTCCATGCCCTCCCCGGCCAAACTTCTTCCATTTTGTAAGAGGGCCGCCCTGCTGGAGCCCTCCCCCTATGTAACTCTGACCTCTAGCTCACAACTCTGGCTGCGAAGCTGTGTCCTTCCTGTCTCTCTTAGACTGAATCTGGAAGGGTTTATAAGGAATTCGCTGAACGGAGTTCTTTCTATAGTAACAACCCTCCAAGCTAGATAGACAGCCCCTTAAAGGGGAACTACCCTAGGCTCCCCCACCTCATCTCTGCTCTCTCTCCGAAAATTTTAGAGGGAGAAGGACTAGCAGGGGGATGAAAGGGACCTAGGCCTTAGGGCGGCTCCGAGGTGCTTTTATGTCCGGGTTCCCAGGAGCTAAAGACATGTCCAGACAGCTACCCCCAACGCCCCGAGCCAGTCTCGCTTCCCTCAGCTCCTGGGACGTGACATTTCTACTAGCCGAATCCCTCCACATGGTGCCCCATCCTAACCCTTCAGCAACTCAGGGGAGGATGAAATAGTGAGAAAACGAGGGACGCATTCAGCTCCTGGCAGCCTAAACAGCCAAATAGCCTCCAATCTAGCCCCAGAAATTAAAAAAAAAAAACCCTAGCGCCCCCTCTCCGTTCCCCACTATCAATAAATAACCACCTTCCCCTCTTACTCAGGACGACCCCCTAAAAAAGATCGGCAGGCATGCGACATCCACGGGGCTCAGTTGGAGGACGCCGAGTTGCCTTCAGCCTCCCGTTTGCCTTTGCCCCCGGGCGGCTCCACTGCGCCACCTGCCTTGGCCTCCCCCTGGGCCGCTGCAGCAGCCTCCTCTTTGGCTCCCTCGTGGGTTTTCATGTGCTTGGCCAGGTGGTCGCTGCGCATGAAGACTCGGCTGCAGACCGCACAGGGGAACTTCTTGGTCCCGGTGTGGGTCTGAAGGTGGCGCTGCAGCTCGTCGGAGCGCGTGAAGCGCTTGCCACAGAAAAGCCAGTTGCACACGAAGGGTCGGTCGCCGCTGTGCCACCGCAGGTGCGCCTTCAGATGCGACGTCTTGGCGTAGGCTTTCCCGCAGCCTGGAATGTGGCAGTTGTGCAAATGCTTCTTCTTGCCCCCATCGGGCCCGCACGGAGCCCCCAGTCGCTCCGCCTCCAGGCAGTTGGGGCAGCGACACACGGTCTGCCCTGAGCTGCGGGGCACAGACCGCCGGGAGCCTTTGGGTCGGGCCGCCGCATCCAGACTGGAATCCAGACCTTGGGACTCTGGCGCCGACGCTTCCAAGGCCTTAGCCCCGTCGGGTGGCCCTAGGAGGTGCTGCCCACCCGCGGCTGGGAGGAGGTGATGCGGGTGCGGGTGGGGCGGCGGAGCACAGAGCTGGTGGTCTCCGACGTATCCACCCAAACCAGGCTGAAGCGCCCCCGGGTGGCCAGGTGAGGTCAGCGCTCCTTGAGTATGGGGGAGGTCCATCCAGCTGGTGCCGGGATGTAGGTCCCACCAAGAGCCATCTTCCGTGCCTGGGTGAGTCGGCCGGAACCACGATTCGTAATGATGTGACATGTCCGGCTGCAGGAGCTTGGAAAAGGGTCCCGGAGCCAAGGGACTGTCACTTTCCAGGTCCTCGCAGGTTACCCGCGAGGAGGCCCCTGGCAACTCATAGCCCTGTGAGAAGTCTACCTCCGGGCCCAGCGGGAGGCTCTGCAGCTCTCCAGGCTGCAGCGGGGAGGGGTAGTCCCCAACCTCCGGGCTCGTGTGACCCTGGTATGTCTGGAGAGGCTGCAGGTCTAGGCGCGGCGGTGATGCGTGAGGGGCGTCGGTGTGCTGGCTGCCCAGAGAGCCACAGACAGCGGTTAGCATTGCCGGGATCCGGGGTGGGGTGAGGGCAGGGACGGTCAAGGGCACCTCAGGTGGGACCTAGAGGAAGCAAAAATGAGACGTAAGGAAGACGACCTGTTACTTTCCCTCCTAACCCAGATCCCTTCCCAGCAAAGGGCTCCTTCCGAGCCCCTACGAGGAAAAGAGGGGCATACTTCAGCGTGGAGATTACAAATCAGTTAGAGCTTGGGAATACTAGGAAGGAATGAGGATGTGAAAGTCTATCTAGTTCAGGGCACAGAATGGCCTTTCCTCAAGTGACCCCGCCCTCAGGATTCAGCTCATCCTGGAGTGGGGTTGGTCCCAATGCCCCCAAAACCATCTCTACACAGCTTCCTGGGCATATTCCCCTGCGAACCCGCCGCCAACCTAAATGGATAATCTAGATTCTTCTAAGCCCCAGCCTAACTCTGGACACAGACAGAGCAGGGATATGCTTCTGGCTGCTTGAGGTAATTTGTCCTTCAGAAAGCCCAGAACAGGTCCCGAGCCTTTGGCCAAAGCCAGTCACAGAGCTGCTGTGACGACATGGAACAGCACTTAATCTCTCTAAACACTCCCCTGCTCCATGCCTAGCTTGGTTGGCGCTGCCCCCCAAACCCACTCTCGCCCAACACCCACTCCTTTCCCTCCACATGAAGCTGGGAGGGGTCACCAGAGAAAGGAATCACCCACAGAAGAGCTCCTTAGAAACTCAGAAAAATATAACCGCTGCTCCTCTATGGAAGGCAGCATGGGAGTTTGGAAGAGATGGGCATCCCTTATCCCTGAACTCCAGGGAAAGCACTGGGGAACTTGTAGAAGTTCCTTGAGCGCTACTGCTCTGAGCCTGCTCATATTTTAGAAAGCAGAGTGTGGAGCAGTGACCAGAAACACGTGTTCATTTAATCAATCAGTCAACCAGCATACACCGTGCAGCGCCTCTGAGAGACAGCTCTCTGTCTTAAAACATTGGAAACCTAAGGCCCAGCAGGAACCTGGCCTGGGTGTGGTGATGGGAGCCTTCAATCTAAGCACTCAGGAAACAGAAGCAGAAGAATGCAGTCCCAGGCCAGCCTGGGCTACGTGGCAAAAGAAGGATAGGAGAGAGGGAAGGGGTGAGGTAGATAAAAGAAGAGAAGGTGGAGAGGCTGCTGAGCATGGTGGGGACTGCCTAAGAAATAATCCCATCACTCAGGAGGCTGAGACAGAAGGCTTCTGAGTTCAGCCTGGGCTCAGAAATGAGACCCTGTTTCAAAAACAAATTCAAGAAACCTTAAAACCTCCACCGCTTTCTCCACCACAAATCTATGACCCGAAGGTCCCAGTCTTCTCTCCATCTCTCCCTAGAGCCTAGGAATCTTGCCTATGTGTGGGCTCGTGTGGTCAGTGATTTAGGGCCTTCCCCAAGCAGGGCTCAGCTGACCCTACCAACCTCCCGACTCTGGGAGCAGGGAGGTAGCATTGATAGTCTGGGAGAGGGAGGGAAGAGGAGGACCCGGGTGCCTACTCAGGCTCTGGCAGCCTTACCACAAGAAAGGAACAGGGTGAAGCAGCAGGAATGGAGCCTCGGGCCGGGGCGGGGTAGTCCAGAAGGGGTTGGGCTGGAGCAGTGAGGCCTGGGACCCTAATAGCTTTTGGCGCCTGGGAACTGCCCCGGGGTCTGGGGGGATGGGAAGGCTAAAATGACCCAGGCTGCAGCAGAGAGGCCTCTCTGGACAGAGAGCTTGAGCCCAGGCCTAGAGTGCAATGA